ACATAACTGTTACAATACATATTATTGACTACTTTTCCTGTGCTGTACTTAACCCCCCTGTGTCTTCTGAAAGCCGCATTATTCTTTCCTTCCCTCTAGAGCCAGTAGAAAATTGCTTTGTTTCACCATCTTGTTTTCTTTCTTGTCTCCTCCACCTCAAACTGTTGTCAGTATATCGAGTCTCAGAACATTCTCTTGCTGTTGAACCTCAAACATCAAGGTACGCATAGTTACCCACGTGTATGGCGTACAAATGGTATTCTGTAGAAAAACATTGCAGGCTCTTCAAAAGTCACTTTATCTTTTGGATTTCGGTGGTTTCTTCCTAAATTTACAGATGACACTGTTGTCACACAGCAATTTCATTTATTGCTGTGTCTCTCAAAAAAAAAATAAAGGACTAAGAAACTCTTACCCTCTGCTTCTACTGTAAGCTTTGGGAGTTCATTTAGACCTATGGAAACCACAACACACACAAATTAAGTAGATACTGAAAACAGAAAAGATATTCAATATAGTTTAGACTTACTCCTCAATTTGGTAAAGGTCTACTGTGCTATTTCTTGGCCTTTAATGTCATTGTGTTGTTGTAAGGAGGCAGCTTTGGAGCACTATGTAAACCCCATTCTGCATCTGGATTCTGTCTACGGTAGAATTAAGATACTTGTTACTCCTACGGTGAAAAACTTTTTTGCATGCAAAAGCAACACATACCAGTTCGTTTTTATAGTCACCGTAATGTGAAGAGGAGAGGAAAGACAGGAAGATTATTAGTAGGTGTCCACTGGTTTATGTAGGCACATCTCGGAGATACTGTGGGTTCAGTTCCCGACCACTGCAATATAGTCAGAATCACGGAAAAGCAAGCCGTAATCCTTCCGGTTTCCCAGTGCCTATAAAACTTATACCTGCTCTGTGCTGTAGTCTATTGTTCTATTGCGATAGTATTGTGTCTGAAAAACAGTGTGCATGCTGCAACTAAAACTATTTTATTGATAAATTAAAAAATGCTAACTCTCCTCTGAGCCTGCTGGAAGGTGGTACCGATAGACTGCTTGATGTGGGGTCGCCACAAGCCTTCAGTCTGTGACAAACACAGTGTTGGTGACATGCAGCAAAGCAAACCCAGTAAAACAAGATATGCCTGTACCTTATTTACTCTTCCTGAAAAAGTACTACCCTGCTTTAATGATCAAGAAAAGTTATTAAATAAAAATGATTATCAAAGCTATTAAAATCTGCCATGACTTACTGGCTGATCTAGAAGTCACACCGGGGTCTGTGTGACTTTGAGTCCCATGTTCTAACCCCAAACACGGGCCTTGGTGGGCTTGGAATCTGACGAGCGGAGTGTTAAGGGAGCCTCGCCGCAGAAGCGTAGCTTTCCCATCCGAGGGGTGGGAGAGACGGTTGTTCCTGGAGATCTGGGGCCAGGCAGACCCTTCCTTGTCACTGCGCTTCTCTGTTGAAGGTGGCCAGGCTTTCTGAGAGGCTGTGGCACCGAGAGCCTTTGCTGATGGGGTGACAACTTGAAAACCTCCACAAAGCAAGACTTGTGCCTCTTTGTCTATTTTAAATGCTGTTGAGCTTTCGGATCGTTACCAATATCAGGAAAAACAAAAGGCTGCCATCTGTGTTCTTGAAAGAATGAGAGAATAAGTGGAAAAGGAAAGGGAAGGGAAGGGAAGGGAAGGGAAGGGAAGGGAAGGGAAGGGAAGGGAAGGGAAGGGAAGGGAAGGGAAGGGAAGACTTGTGGTTAAAAAAACAGAGAATGGGAGAATGATCTTACTTGAAGAAGCAAATTAGAATCTTCTCTATCTTCTCATACAGTTTATTCAGACTACTTATAATACAGATGACTGATGGCAGATTATAACTACTAGGAAACTGTCACTAAATGTGGCACTGGCTTTCAAAACTGGTCACAAAGCTACATGTGCCATGAGAAATTAACTGAAAATACCCCTTATATTTCTTAAAATATAACTCAGAGAGTAAAATAATTAACAAAAGGATTTACATATAGAAAATAATCTTATTTTTTATGTCATCTGCAGTAAAATCTCGAGAAGCTGTGAATATCACACAGATGGCCTAAATTTCTTTCAAACTGAAAACCACAGTTGATCTAAGATTTCGGTCACTGCGTGCATTTTGCCTGGGGACCCCCTCAACAAATGGCAGAGTTAAGCCTATTGCATTCCTCAAATGTCTCAATTTTCACTAACTTATTTACATTTTATCTTGGTAAGTTTCATCCTCACTAACTGACAAAATCGGCTCCTGCCGTTTGTCACTCAGTTCATGTCGTAAGTGCATTTATAACAACTGTGATGGCAAAGTGTCGATGCTGCGTGAAGCTTTGTGCTCACACTTTACACTTGGAAAATGGTACCTCGCTCTCAGAAGCCTGGCTTGCACCCCAGCTTCTCAGGAAGTCTTTATTTCTAAGAGTGCCCTACAAAGAAAAATCTGTTCAGCTTCGTGATTTTTTGATTCTCCTCCAAGAGTTGAAATGTGCCCTCGAATGCACTTTCCTTGATCTAGCATTTGCCTATTTATCAGTTCATTACAGTTCGAATACACGTATCCCCTTAGCTTCAAAATCCTGTAAAAATCATGGATAATAGAACATTTTAAAGTGTTCTTTGCTATCCCGAGTTGGTTTTATGATGGTTCTATGGCTGTTAGGTTTGGGAAGGGGGTCTGTTTTTATGGTTTATTTCTCCGATAAAAAATCAGTCTCCAGAGGGAGGGGAAGGGTCATCAAGGAACATGGATAAAGGACCCGTGGACAAAAACAGTGGGGCAGGGGGAGGACTAACTGTGGGAGGTTGGGGTGCGTGGGGCAGGGGAGAATAATGGGGGGATGTGGGGACGACTGCAACTAAACAACAATAAAAACCTCAATCTTCTGCCACTTTGGATTAAAGGGTTTTTTTTCAGCTAAACGTGCTCATACAGTGAAACCATCTTCTTTATTACACATCAAAAGGAACCATTATGAGCAAGGAAAACTCATTTTATTCTATTCACCACATTTTAGGGGCTTATGTGTTTTGAAAAGCGGTAAGCATATACTTTCCTTATTTGCATATAATACTGTAATAAAATAGCAGCTGATATAATTATGTCTTGTATCACTTTAAGAATTTCAAGGGCTTGAAGTGCAACATTTGAAAGGACTTTTATTTAGTCCCTGCTAATTGCTGGGGACACTGTACCAAATATTTTATGCGTTAACAGATTAATCTGTGTGTCTAGTATTGCATAGTTAATTTGAGGGCCTCGAAGAGGATTAGAACACAGATCTCTGGCATTTCATTCCAGCGTGTTCTAAATTTCATTAATCATTCATTTGATTCTTTGAAAATAGTCCAGAAATGTTCTTTAATCTTAGTCTTAAATCTTTGTATTTTACAAAAGAAAAAAAAGACATGCAAAGACAATCAGAAGACTCGCCTTCCTAAAAATGGTATGCATTGTTGTGCCTTAAACAAATTTTATGTGGCTCCATAATTGCTTCTGGAAGCAAACCATTTGCATACGTCAGCCCAGAGCAGATTACATAAGACAATCTGTTCTGTTGGAGCTTTTTTAAAGTATAATCATGGAACATGTATTCTATTTTTTAGTATGGCTAATGATTGCCTGGTAAGTTTATGTCAACAATGTAAAGTACAAAAAGGGGAAGGGGGGCGGTACAAAAAAACAGCCCAGAGGATCCCTTTTAAATTCTTAGAGTCCTGGCGAAGAGGGACAGCGTGACACTCAATGATGGCTTTCCAGATCCTGCACAGACCTTTGAGCAAACACTGTCTTGAGATTGTAAACCATTAACCAGCCCAAGCTGCACGACTGTGTTTAAAGTAGTGATAGAGACGCTTTGACAATCCCCGAGTGACCATGGGTTTGCCTCTATGTGTAGGTCCAACTTTTTATAATTAATCTGCTCTGTTCTCCTTTGTCTTCTAATTTCTCCCGATGGCCACACGTGTGACTCAAAGGGACATGCTTATCAAAAGACAACTTCTGCTTTCACTAGTCCAGGGGTTTTTTTGTATTATTTTAACTTTTTGTCTAGAGCTCAAGTGATTTTCAAAATGTGTCACAAACCATCAGGGAAACACATCAGTGTGTGTAGGGGGTACAATTAACATTTTAAAATGTAATAGAGCAGACTAAAAATATTAGAGAGCATTGCATGAAGTAAGAGTATTTTTTAAACTTTTGGGTCAAAAATCCTTATGTGTACGTGTGTGGAGAAGTAACACATAAGTTTCCAGAATGCTTACTGGTCAAGAATGTGATAGTCACTGCCAGACTTACTAATGTGATGGAGTTTCTCTGTTGTTGTAAATAATCTGAAAACAGTGATGTAATCTCTTTTCCCAGTTTGCTCTGTGGGTTTGTGTCTGGTTACCATTCTTTATTTTGGGACAAAATAATAGTGAATGAATGGGTACACGATTGCCTTCCCACTTTCAGTTAACGGAAAATGTTAGTGTCTTAACTCGCACCTTTGTAGAAATAACTCCCCATCTGCTCCCCTGGGGTGTGGGAGCACTTCTGAAGAAGGTCACATACCATTTCTATTTCGTGTTTTTACCTTTGCTTGGAATAATTATTTTCAACTGATTTTTGGTATTTAATGTTTGACCAATGCAATAGATATGCTTATGAAATCAGCTAGTGCTTTATTTTCTCAGGGTGATGAGACTGACTTAAAGGAATCACTTAGAAAAAAGAAATTACTTAGAATCTAAAAATTGGAATGGGTGATATATTTCATTTTATCTGTGTCAATGTAATAGTATAAGCTTAACAAAAATTAAATATAATCTATTCAACTATATCCATTCATGTATTTAAAATAAGCTTCTGACTAGAGTACTTTGGAATTAATAACAAATGATAACATATTTTGTATTATTAGGACCATATTGCTTGAATGAGTATAACTATTTATAATTCATCTTTTTCCTTTCTTGTATTTTCAGCTAAAATTGACCAGGAGGCAGAGGAGAACTCACTAACAGAGACTCATAAATGGTGAGAAATTAAGTACTTTTCTTTAACATTCCTTTTCGGAATAGGCTCATAAAGCACTTAGTACGTTTTATCTCAGGGAACCAATCATTAACTCCATTTTTACTCTCAAGTGTAGAAGAAAAAAAAGTAATATAATGGACTTTAATTCCACATTGAATTTCTGGACTTCATTTTTGTGAGTCTCAATGATGTTTAATCCTGTTAAAGTCTCAAATGATTGTGAATAGTTTCGCACCTTCCCTTTTGAAGAGGATTTAGGACTGGGGAAGTACAAAAAAAAAAGGAGGCAGCAGGAATATGTTTTAAGAAAAAAAGGGGAAGAGTTTGGTTATAGGAAACAATCGCATTTCCACATTCAGAAGTAGAGCCAGCCCAGGTCAGAAGCTATGGGATTCGCTTGTCTATACCTCCGCTTCCAGAGCAAAGGTTTGCGATCACAGGGGAGCACAGAAAAGTATCTCGGGAATCTCCCTGCTTCTCTGCCTCAATTTTCTCCTCTTCTTTTTCTCTCTGTATCCGTTAGGGCTCACCAGAAAACAAAACCAATAGGATGTGTACGCATGCATACGTGTGTGTATGTTGGTGTGTGTGTACATGCGGGGGGTCGTAGGGAGAGAGATGTTAAGGAATGGCTCAGGGCAGCCTGAAGAGTATGGCTGGAGTGGATGTTATAATCTTCGGTCTGAGAGCATTATAGAGACAAAACTCCTTCCTACCCGGGGGAACCACAGGTTTTTTTTTTTTCTTAAGGCCCTCAACTGATTGAATGGGCCCATCAACACTATGGAGGGTAATCCGCTTTTCTCAAAGGCTACTAATGTACACATTAATCGCATCTAAAAAATGCCTTCACAACAACATCTAAACTGTGTTTGACCCAGAACTAGTTACCGTAGCCTAGCCAGGTTAACACATCAAATTAACCATCACATTCTCTCAACAAATATGGTTCCTCTCGAGGGAATATTTAGATTAGAGAAATTCTTTTCCATTACTTTTTAGGCCAGATCCTGTATAGCCTATGAACAAATATCACATAGACTGTAGTGGTTGATGTGCTATACAGATGTGCTCAACCAACTGGTAGAAGAATTAACCTGTTTCTATGAAAAGCAGAAACTGAGCTGAAGCCCTTGAATTATAGCAAACCGTTGCAGGAAAGAAATGCTAGCTAATAACCGAATTGTTAGTAAAAGAGCAATATTTTACAATACAAGAGTTACCTCTGACATTCAAACATAAAAATCAGGATAATGGGCCCTGTGACACATTCCCCGGAGACATCGGTCTCTGTGCCATCTTCGCAGCTGCCCTGCCCGACGGGCACAGCACAGTCAGCAGGCGCTGTGTGGAGTGGGGGCGCTGTGTGGGGCGGGGGCGCTGTGCGGGCCACCGCCTTTCCTGTCGGAGTCATGCCTCACGTGTGATAGCTCCGCAATTTCGGAGCAGAACCATAACCCCAGGATAACTTGGTAGGTCAGAACTAAGTACTTAGTCAGCGATCGATAGGTGTTAATTGCTATATTATTTTTACTTTAGCATCATAGCCGGAAATTACAAAATGTTTGATGGTAGGAGTAGAAACCAGTGTCTGATTGTGGACTCTGGCCATGTATTTATTTGTTCATTTCATGTTCTTTGCTGTCTGCGTTGAATGCGGTACTGGACAGTCTGGCTGGGTTGCGGGGCATAGATTTTGGTATCAGCCCTGTATTTCTGCACCTGCTCCAGACTGCTGGCATTGTTGCTCCAGGGAGTCACCGTGACGTTTTAAGTCTGTGTCCTTATATCTGTGTGCAATAAGAGAAACAACGCCCGTATTGTTAGTTAGTGGAGGTAAGTTCACAATAGTTAAATGTAAAAGTACATATGTAGAAACACCCACCTCATTTAGGCTGTTCAGAATCTGCTTCCATTGTATTTACCAAAATACTTGAGCTTGGGGGACCGACGTCCAGAATGAACTTGCTTCCCAAGAAGCAACCATTTAACTGGAGAAAATTATATATATACCACTCATTTGACATTTCTAGAAAATGCTCTAAGGGTTTCTAGCAAATGGAGAATCATTCATTCAAGAAAACCTGCTCAGTCTTAGTAAGAACCACGAGAGTCTGCAGCACGTGAACCCCAGCCCATCCTTTCCAGCACTTTCCTTACGGAAACAACCCCACCAGCCCCCATCCAAGCAAGGCGCGTTCTCCCGAGCTCCCAGTCTCCAGCCGTCATTCCTCCCTGAGTCAGCAGTCTGCTAGCTTCAGGCATCCCTGCAACTGCAGCCTATTTAGAAGTTCTATTCTAGACCAATGATGTAGAGTCGATGGGCTTCCTTCCTCAACCCAGCCCCCTCTTGCAGGGTGGAACTCCTCTCCAGGTGTGCCAGACCAAGAATATTGGACCCCAAAGCTTTCCCCTTTCAGCTGACTATTAAGGGCACATTGTCCATCAGGAAGGGTAAACCAAGAAGACTGGGTTCTGCCATCCTCAGCTCCTGCTTATGGAGCAGGTGTCTCAGTCTTGGAGAGGTGGGCCGCTTTGCCACATTTGGCTTTACCTCTGGGCACAGCGATTCTGCCCAGGGGTCTGCAGCTGTCTCTGAAGGGACTTTGGATTTATTTGGAACAGAGGAGAAGTCCACGCCAAAAGGCTTTGTGGACAGCAATGATGGTCTCGGTGAAGAGAAATGAAGAGGGTACTGTCAGCTCCAGGATACAAACAGCAAAGGCAAAATGGTCAAACAGAAGTTTAACAGAGATAACTAGGAAAGGAGAAAGCCAAGAAGCATCCTCCTGGGGTGACAGTTCACCCTAGGAGCTGGGAAGGCCATGCACTAGTGAACTAGGCTGCAATCAGGAACAGTCAGACCTGCGTGGAGCAGATTCAGAAACATTCCCCAAGCTGCATGCAGGTCCGTCAACGAAATGGCCTAGACCTCCTTGGTTCTGGGGGGGGCTTCTGTACAACCTTCACTGACCAATGGCTGAACAATAAGCTCTTCTGATGCAGGGGCAGCTCCTGGGAAGCTGGGCTTTAAAATAAAACCACATACATTTCTGGCTGCCGGGAAGACTGCGTCCCTACCCACAGTCTATCTGAGAGACACAGAATAGCGACATGGTAGCACCAGCAGCAGCTGAATGCACCGCTTCTCCTGGGATTCCGTGCTTGAGTAGACAAGAGCTCATTCCCGACCTGCGGGGCGGTTTCCCTCTGCCAGGCTGGCTGGCTCCTGTCAAGCAGTAGATGGAAAGGTGGATTCAACCCAGATTCCAGAAGTCAGGTCTCCTTCCCAGCTATGAGGCCTTGGCCGTTTATCTATCTATTTTTATTGATTGATTGGAGAAAAAGATGAAGGGGGAGAGAATGAAAGTGGGGGAGAGAGAGACATCGATTTGTTGTTCCACTTATTTATGCATTCATTGGTTGATTCTTATATGTTCCCTGACCAGGGATTGAACCAACAACTTTGGCGTGTTGTAATGAAGCTCTAACCAACTGAGCTACCCAGACGGGGTGAGGCCTTGACCATTTATAAACCACCCACCTCGACCCCCAGCAGCATGCCACCAAATGCTCTATCTTCATAAACGTCTATGGAACCCAAAGCCCTGGGCTTTTACAGAGTTCCTCTTTGTGCTCAGATTGGCCAAAAATTCCTCAACCCACCCCCCTCCAAACAAAAGCAAACTTAAAAGGAGGTGCACACACACTCTCACTCTCTATTTGATTTCCAAATATTTGAGTTGTCTCAGCTAGGCCCCGAGGGAGAGGAGAGCCAGGAACAGGCACCCAGGCCCATATCTTCTCAGTCTTTCATTCTGCGTTTGATTTGGACTTTATCGTAACTATTATTATGGTCTATGTATCATATTATTAAGTCAGCTGAAATCCATTTTGGAGGGAGGATGGTATGGAAGCCAACTGATTCTACTTGGTCTGCATGCTTAAGCACCCGCAGAGGGGACCTTCCCCAGTTTCCAACCTTTTGTCAGCCCTTTGACCTTGAGCTGGCAAGGACACAGGGCCATTTTAGTTGTTTGAATATACTAGAAGCACCCTAATCAAAAACATATTCTTGCGAGGTAGTTTTTATCTCAAGTGATGCTATTGCAACTCAAGACATTTTAGTTCTTATAAGACCCAGTTGATAAATTAGTGACAAATGTGTGTGCTTTAATTCTTAGACCTGGTGCAAAGACATTTACAAATAATTGTGATAGCTGTGGTGGGCTGTTAATGTCTTCAGGGTCATACAGGCACCGAACAACCTTTTCAAGACCGAAAGAGGTTCCCCAAAGGTTTTGAGGCAACTCAGTGTTCTGCGTGCTCACAGGGTTACTCGGAAGGAGATGGCTGGTGTGGCGGGCAGGGCCTGCGAATTCCAGGCCGGAGTTCGGTGGGGTGAACAGCATGGCGTGCCTGCGCCTCAGCCTCCTCGTTGGTAAATGGAATGTGACTCCGTCCTCCCTCCCATCTCCTAGGGCTGTGGGAACACCAGACTTCATTCTTTGCTGTCGGCAGAGCTTCCTCAGGGGCGGCTAGTTGAGGCCTTGCTAGAAAAGCACACTCACGCGGAGATGTTTGGGAAACTGCACACATTCGTGTTAGCCACTTTCTTGGAAAAGGAATGATAACCGTTTGTCTTTGTGATCGAGTCATTTCTTTAAAGCCTTGGTTCACTTCTTGGTCCATTTAAAATGGGTAGGGGTAGCCCTGGCCAGTTGTTTGGAGCGTCGTCGTGTACACTAGAAGGTCGGGGGTTCGATCCCCAGTCAAGGCGTGTACAGGAAGCAACCGATCAATGTCCCTCTCTCATCAGTAAACATATCCTCGGGTAAAGTTCAAGTGCACTTTCATCAAAAAACTAATGAGAACTTTTTAAAAAAGAATTCTTTTCTATAGTAGAATATTGTGTTTTTCAGGTTATTTCGTGATTTCCTAACTAAAGAACATACTCAAAAGAAACAATGGATAGCATATATGTATGTATTTTTTATTTA